AAGGGAGGGAGGGGGGGGGGTTATTGGTGCCTCCTAAGAAGATGCCACCCTGGCCAGTTGCCATGCCTGTATCTGCCACTGCTCGTGGTTGGATGTGGGGCACCAGTAATGATGCTCATCTAGAGAACCACAGGAACCAGGACCAGCACTAATCACATTTTATGGTTTCGAATGTCCTCAGCAACTCTAAAAAGTGTAAATGTCATGAGGGATTTAGTTATGTGCATGGAATAAATATCTGATGTCTGACAATAAGTGAGTAGTCTGAAACGAAAATACAAATGATTTTTACAGCCAACAGATATTACGTAATCATTACATTTTCTGCCATATCTGTTAGTGGCATTTGACATTTTTGTATTTGTGTTTGTTTTTGAACATGTATTACATATGAAATAAATATTCTCCAAAAAAAAAACCCTGCACATAGTGTCATGAGGGCATATAAATTTATAAGTAATTGTGTTTAGGTCACACATAATCTCCACCTCTTTCTTAATCTGCCTTTGATCCTGTGGCAGCTGAAATTAAGCAGTACATTCAGACCCTTTTTGCTGGATTTAACACACAACTTACTTCTGTGTTTTACACACTAAAAGCAGAAGTATTAATTACCCATCTCTTATTTATACATAATCTGGATTATCTCTTGGTGTCCAATTTTTCCATTTCTTTGCTAGTTTTATTCAAACATCATTTCTTTGCATAAACAAATAAAAAATAAATGTGAACGGTCATGTTCTAAATTGTAGTCAAGCTGTGGAAATTCAGTGTAAAAAGGAACAACAGAGTAGAGTAAAGGGAAGAGCGGAGAAAAGATTTTACAAACAGCAAATCACCAGCAAATTGTTTAATGCAAAACACACTGAGCGACTGACAGCATCCAGTGACTAAACGCAGATAGAATTAAAATTACAGGCGAAGTTTTACTAGAATTAAATACTTAAAGCATTAACTTTTTAATCATAATATCCAGTAGTGGTCACTGTATTTATAAATGTTCAGAACAACTCAAAGAAGGCGACAGGCACTTTAAATAGCATCAGGCAATGGCTGCATAACAAATGGAGCACATCACTCGAGAAATCATTAATTTATTTATGCTATACCTGTATATGTTAACAGGAAACAGTAGAACTTTCAACAAAGACTACACATTAACTATGAAACTAACTTAATAAAGTAGTTTTAAATTATTTTCTATTTATTATCTCCAGAATGAATCATTTGTAATTATTCTTAATACAATAATATTAATTCAGCCTTACACTATAAGGACAATGGATGATGATGGATGGATGGATGGATGGACTATAAGGACAAAAGTATTGGGACACCTGTCTGTTATACCTACAGGAACTTTTATGACATCCCATTCTAAGTCTATAGGCATCAATAAGGAGTTGGTCCCCCCCTTTCAGCTATAACAGCTGCCACTCTTCTGGGAAGGCTTTCCACAAGTATATGGAGCGTGTCTGTGGGAATTTTCGCCTATTTATCCAGAAGAGGTGCACTGAAGTCAGGCACTGATATTGGATGTGAAGGCCTGGCTCTCTGTTCTAGTTCATCCCAAAGGTGTTTGATGGGGTTGAGGTCAGGGCTCTGTGCAGGTCAGTCAAGTTCTTCCACACCAAACTCACCCAACCATGTCTTTATGAACCTTGCTTTGTGCACTGAGGCACAGTATGTCCACCACCCCTTTGTATGGTATATGCCATATAGAAGGTGTTTGGATGACTTGTAGAAAACTTGGATGGATGGATGGAAGGATGACTTTTATATGAACTATTATTTAACACATCACATTAAAGTATGTTTTTGGGTCACATTTTCAAAAGCACATCACGCTCATAATAATGACATCATTAAGACGATATTCAGCTGCAGTACATGGAACAAACACACACATAGGCTGGCAACCTCAACCGAGTTGTGTTCGCATCAGTCGTCATTACCCATGATCCTCATCAGGAAGGTAAAAACATCGGCAAAAAATCAGTCTCTATTTAGTTTTATAGAAAGAACTGAGAATGTATCTTCATGTTTTACTAGCTGCTATGTACAGAAGGCACAGGTTGAGTATTGAATAGTGATCCTTGTCCGGCCTGCTCTTCTAGGGACCCAAACAAAGTGCGGCTTAGCATAGAGAGACTTCCCTCTCTCTCGCTATCCTCGCTGCCATGATATCCATCTCCCTCTCACAATCCTCACACCCCTCGCACCCCCCCAGCAGCACTAGGGTTGCCGCGTCCCCGTCGTTAAGCCCGACCCCATCTGCTAACCCCATGATGCCACTGGGGCAGTGCGGGAGATCAGCAAAGGAATAGACCCCGTCCCCGGGGAGGGCTTCATTGTAGGGCGGTGCCTTCCTGGAGTGGCTGTCTTCCAAGCGTGCTCGCAGCCTATGGTGCTGCTCGATTGACGTTTTAGTGTATGAGTTGAGGGTGAAGACCGCAGAAGCCATGCAGCAGCCAAAGGAGATCCAGGCCAGGCTAAGACAGACAGGGGAAAAGGAACTGAAGGAAGGTGCAAAGAAAATCATTAAATCCTCAGCACAGGATCTTACTTCATGGGGACCTGAAGGACGGAGGGTCACCTACGCAAACGACCAGCCGTAGTCCCATGTCTGGGGCCTCCAGTCTTTGGGCCCGATGGTCACGGTCAGCTGGAACACCGTGGTGTACATCATGTGAGCCACCATTCCCATCAGCCCTGATCGAGAGAGAGGAAATGGGAGTGAGCCATGCTGGGGGCGCAGGAAACGGGGGGTGGGGGGAATGACTCGCAACCATATGACAGGAAATGTAAACGAAAGCCACCCCTCGGAATGAAGACAGTGATATTTTTTTGTTATGGTATGTGCTAGTACAGTATACTGGAACCTTCTTAGAGATTGAAAATAATTTTTAGTCCTCTTTCACAACAATTTAATTAAGTCATTTGTGGCGCTTGTAATAGCAAAGACTTTTATTTGGAGTTTTTTTAACAGACGACAGAGCCACAATTAATTGATAACTACATTTATTTCATAGTCTAAGTACTACAAGAACATTTGGCAAGAAGCATAACTTAACTTTTAGAATATCAGTACATTTTATCTTGAAAAATGTGTCTGTGGCCTTTTTGTATGTAGGAAAAAGTGGGCAGGAAAGGGAAGTGATGGGAAATATTCTGAGATGGGAAGGGAACATATAAAGAGTTTCAGTATAAAAGCTGTCAGACACAAACGGCTCTTTGCGTGTAAGCGAGGTGGCCTACCGGACAGGATGGTGCAGACAGCAGCGAAGGCATTCACCTTGAGCGCATACATCTCCCTGCGTGAGCACACGCACAGCATCTCCATCCACATCAGGATGAAGCCGGTGGCCAGAAGGCCGATGTGCATGATCTCCGACACCACGGACAGCCACAGGACGCCTGGCGGCAGAAGCCACAATCCAAGACATGGACAAGACGACACACTCTGGTCCTAATCGCAACCAATTGGCTCCTAGGGGGGCTCTGCTGTTGGACCCTAAGCACAGGCATCTTTCCAACAACATGGTAAGATCTGAAACTAGATAGGCCTATTTGACTGTCTGGGTGAGAAGAGATCAGCAGTGAGCTTTATCTACACTGGGAAGCAACTACATAAGCAGTTAACTGGATTTTTCCCTAAGAAAAAGTCATAAAAAGAGACAGTCGAACATTAAAGAAACACACATTAATTCAGTCAAAATCATTTATTTCCAACTGGTATTATTTTATTCTTAAGCTTCTATTTTATATTTAGCTGTTATCCTATTTTCCTTTTTAATATTTCGTCCTTATATGCTTTCTAATACTTATTTATTTCACGACCTCCATGTCTTTTATGTGAAACGCTGTGAATCGCGAGCTTACCCTGACTTTCACCTGGAGTCAGCTCCATGAAGCTGCGGCATCTCTCACCTGCACGGAGAAACGAAACCATCAGCCTCTGGTGCTTAAATCTGCCTTTCCCTTCTTATCGGTCTTTACCCCGAGTGGAAACGGCGTCTCTTTCCTTCCGAGGCTCAGCGCTTTCGGTCGTTCATTTCCTTCATGTCAAACAAATCTTCAGTACACAACAGGAACCAGTCAGAGCTCCAAACACCCCATAAGTAGGCTACTCGCACCATTCTTCCTTACCATCACTGTGTTTTTCGCAGGACTCCCAGAATCCTGTATGAAAGTATCGAAGCGTGTATTTGTCTTCTCCGGTCTCCCAGATGTAGTGCACGGCATCGACCGGCTGCCTGTAGTTTAATAGGGGGGCTGTTCTGTTGAATCCCGCAGTGGGATCTCCGTCAGGCGCGGAACTCTCTGAATGGAAAAATACTTTTGGTCAGATATGCTTATAAAATTGATTTTTTTTTTTTAAATAACGATTTCCTAAAAAGAATCCTTAACAACATGCTCAACGAGCTATAGTCAATCCAAATTGGAAAAAAAATACAAAATACAAACACATATTCAAATCTCAATCTCAAATTTCAAAATATGTATGAACTCCTAAAAATGGGTACAGCAAATTTACCATTTCCAATTACTGCTGCTATCCGTCAAACATCGCGTTTTATCTGCAATTGTCTGGGCAGTCATCTCGTGAGGGTTACTGGCAGTATGCGAAATACCCGTCAGTATTCGGGGGGTCCCCATCTCCCTATTGTTGCGCAATACCGATCATGAGACCCCCTTAAAATTTTGCTTTTGAGGCTTTCAGGGGGTCTCATGGGTTAATCGGAGCTGTCAGACCCCCCGTATTTCGCACACTGGTTACTGGTCAAATAACAAATAACAACCCAGGAACAACAGGTGAACTTTACAGGTACTCTACGGTGTAAACACAGTTCAGGGACTTTATAATTCTATTAACATAGAATTAACATAGAATGCACCACGCATGTGAAGGCAGGAGTGCACCCTTACCAGTGGCTAGGGGCTGGCTGGTATTAGGGCCGCAATTCTTCATTTTGACTGGTGAGAGGCAGAGTGGCTTGACCACTTTGTGCATGCCCACACACCAGTAGGAGGTGCTGAAGGCCAGTACGGACAGGGCCAGGGCGAGCGAGGTGAGGGACAGGGAGAGCAGCGAGCGAGATCGCCAGGACAGGCGCTCCAGCATGGCAGAGGGGGCCCAGTCCGCTGCAAGGGGAGGCATGTCGGGTGAGGAGAAGGGGAGCAGAGGAAGGTGAGGGAGATCTGCACCAGCATGGAGGGCTAATGTGTGGCCTACCAGTCCAACAACAACCTCCTCTCATGTGAGTGAGGACCCCCTAAAAGCGAGAGATCACCCACGGTGCACAGAGAGGGGAGGAAGATAATCCCTCTCTGTCAATAACAGCAAATCTACCAAAACTAATCCCAGAACAGACTATATCAACTAATGGGGAATGCTGAATGGAATTTTGAACATGATCGATGTGGGTAGCAGTATCATTAAGTTTCCAGCTGTACTATAAGCACATCTTGATATAAATCAGACACAGGTAGGCATTCTGTTCTACAGTTAACTTTTGTTTATTAATCAAGTACCTGATTATAATGTAAATATGAGCATTTGAACGGCAAGCTCTGCCCCCAATGGATCCACCTCAGGCAATAACATTATAAAAACTGAGGGATTCAGATCCATCAGGAAGAAAGTACACATTCCAAGTATAGCTGGTAAAAAAAGGAATCATATTCGCTTTTCCTTCCCTGTCCCCATTCTCTCAAAGATATAAAAATCATAAAAGATTACGGATTACCGTTTTGGTGGAATTACAGCTCGATCACTCAGGCTACCTCTGTCTCAGTTTGTAATCTGTACTAATCCCTTATAATCTGGCTGCATGAGGTGATTTTGCACCATTTCACTCTTCTGCTTGTTTTTCCTCTGTCTGTTTGAAACCCATGTAATAAATCTACAAGACAGACAAGAGAATTATTCCAATTACTAATCTTAAAATATCCAGTGAATACTTAAAAGAGGAAATAATTACATTGAATAGTGTTCAGATGAAATATTGCTTCTGGTGGACGAAAGGGCATCAGTCTAATCAATGTAACATTGTAGTTTTACCACACAGATTCTATACGATGTTATTAAGAGGAGGAGGATTTAATTAATATCCTGTATTTTCACATTCTAAAATTTGTAGTGGTATTAGAAACTCATCGGACTCATTTACTTCGCTTCTGTTTTCATTGCACCTGCAAATAACACTTCATAAGGGCTATACAAGGCATTGATAACTTTACGCTGTACCTTCAGTCACACCATTGTGCATTCACTTACGGCATCATTCCATAATAAACCCATATGTAATTTTACTATGAAAATAATAGTAAATGCACACAAAAATCATCAATAAATGTTGAAGAATTGTTTTACTGTTTTGCAAAATGGATTTTTTATTAGTCATATTATAAAGGATTTACATTTCAGATTGCAAATAAAATTCAACAGTAGTTCAATATAGCATTTATAATAAGTAAAATGCACCACTTCACTAAAATCAACAGTAGTTGACTGCTTTAACTGAAACATGTACCTGTTTCTTTTCTCACAGTGTCATTCAGTCGTAATTTCTAAGTTACAGCAATACTTTTGCAAACCCCTTGGGTTCTTCTGCCTTCGTTTCGTTCACCCCCATCTTTTTAAATTACACCCAAAACTAATCATAACTCACCTTGCCAGCCTGGTTTCTCCCCTCCAGGTCTTCACCTTCTCTCTTTGTATGACTGTTTAGATCTCCTCTTTTTCTCAGGAATTTGTGCCACAAATCCAACCAGATTTCACATAATCCCCCCAGTCCATCTGTTGGTCTTCTCTTACTCTCTCCCTCCCCCACCCTGCTGTATAAACATAAACAGCTCCCCTTAGGCTCCTGTGTATGTGCACACACACACACACGTAGGGTATACATATCCTTATGGGGACCACTCATTCATTTCAATGGGAGAAATGCTAACGCTAACTATGACAACCTTAACCCCTACCCTGCCCTAACCATAACCATAAGTAACCTAACAAAATACAAGAGTTTTTGCATTTTTAGTTTTTTCATAGCAGTCACTGATTTTTATAAAATAGAGTTGTCCCTTATGGGGACCAGGAAACCGGTCTTCATAAGGGAAAATAACTGATATTTATCACGTTATGGGGACATTGTGTCCCCAAAAGGATAGGTAAACCCGCACGCGCGCGCACGCGCGCACACACACACACACACACACACACACACACACACACACACATAATCCCTCTAAAGTGACATGAGACCAAGAAACCAGGCTATTATTTTATTTAATAATCACATCCAGTACAATCACTGAAATTACTTTGTGACATATCAGCAGTTAGAAAAATAATACCAATTTTAATAATAAAAACCAGGAGAGCAGAAGCAAACAGTAAATTCTATTTATTTACAGTGAGTTATGTACAAAAAAATATTACAACATCAACAATAAAAGCAACAATTTGTGAGCAAAGGTGTTTCTGAGAAGTGCTGTGCGTGTTGGCCAGAGAACGCCAAATCAGGAGCGGTTAACTTCATCCCCAAGCCTGAGACTTGCAGTAATGCAGAACCAGCTTCCCATCACTGCCAAAGCACTGCAACAGAGGGAGGGAGTGGCAAACATGAACAGTAGAGACAAAAATGAGTAGCAGATGGATAGACACTGGCAAGGAAAATGTTCACTTCAAGTCCTACCTACTGACTGAATCATGTGAAAACCTGAAAGAAGGTCTACAGGACCAACACTAATCCATCTTCAGGAACCACTTACCCAGTGAAAAGCACACTGACTTGCACTGGACACCCATCAACCACAGGGAATCCCCCTCACACACACAAACACACACTAATACCATCCAGCTGATACAATAGCAATATTTTGACAGTCAAAAAATTCCAGTACGCTAAATTAAAATCTGAGGGCATGACTAAGTAGTAAATACAGCCTGTCTGACTTCAGAAGATTATACATGTTTGTCTGCCTCTGATGCACAACTAACAGCACAATACCACTGAAAAAGAAGTTGTCATTTAGCAAGCTGAAATACCTCATTCAATTTACAGACAGTGCATGGGAGTTACCTGAACAGAGAGCTAGTAAACCACTGTACTTCCTATGAATTTATGTAATTTCCCAGTAAAATCTGTATAGATTGTCTCAATCTTTCTTAATGACAATGAGTCTTTCACAGTGGCCTCCACACCCAATATCTAAACAGAACTGACACAGTGTGAAGGAGGAAGAAGATTCCAGGAAGGTTACACAAAAGCCCAGTGACATAACACATCTGACACTGCACGATTACACACTCAGGGATTAGTCTTTCAACTGAAAGATGAACGTACACTTGCATAAATATAACCACAGCGATGCTTTCGCAGATATAATAGTGGAATTACAGAAGAATAATTATTTCTTATTTATACTGCTGAAAGTGTTTCAGTCAAATATTAATTCATCCATAATTATTTATTTGTTCATCGTGAAATTTAAAAAGCACTTACTTCAAAGAGGACACCGACTTCCTGATCAGGTGAAGGAGCGAAAGACTGATTGACGTAAATAAACTAGAAGAAACAAAAAAAATTAAATGGTCAAACTGGTAAATATGAAGTGCCTGATGTCTGCGCACAGCCCAGATTAACTCTGATGGGTACCTGACATATTGGGCGTCCTTACCAGTTGCTCACTAGGTTCTAGTTTGAGGAAGCGAGAGATAAACAGGGACAGCGACTGCACGGTCCTCCCTCGTTCTACTGCCCACTTCTTGGTCTTCATGATAGGAGTGTCACCTACTGCCTTCAAAAGAACATCGACTGGAACATCAGAGACGGAAGGGTTAATATGAAGCATGGAAAGTGAATGAACAAACGATAAAGAAAGCACTGTAGATGTCATGAAGACCTGTTACAGGAAGACCAGAGGGGCCCAAATATATTATATATATATATGTGTATGTATGTATGTGAACACAAGAGCACATTAATGACCCGAAGCATGCCTACAAACCCTTAGTATTGATGTAGCAGGGAAAGTGAGAGGGATCAGTAGGTGGGTCGTGTCTTGGCGTGAAAGTGCATTCTACGGTGTTGGTATCTGATCGCATACAGATATGGCAGCTGTTTATACAAAACGGTACTTTGCTGGTTTACGGTAACAACCGATGTTTTACTGACGCTCAACGTGTGTAAATGGAGATCAAAATTCCGTTATTTCAGTCAAACATACCTTAAGTGATTAGCACTTACTGTAATTTGGGGATATAAAGATATAACCACTGAAAAGTGAATCACAGACCGAGAGGTTGCCCAGCATCCATTAGTACAACACCATTAGGTACATCCCAATAGGTACATCAACATCACTGACTGGCTAATATCTTCACATGTGCGCTTGCCGATGGTTAAAACAGCCGTCTGTCAAATTCCTCCGAATCATTTGCGGAAGTACAAAATGCTAAAAGCTATACCATATGAATTCATACGTATAAGTACAACAAAATGGATCCCTTAATAATGAAGTGCTACGGTTAGTATTTTACTTTTTTTCTTCTCTTCATTTGAGCCGATGTCTTCGGGAGGAGACTGCACAGCTGAAGGCTCATCTTTGGGATTGTCTGTAGGTGACTCGCCAGCTTCCGACATGTTACCAGAATTTAGGTAAAAACCTGCTATTTGTTTGCGCCAGCAGATTCGCCGGAGGCGGGACCGTACAGACCATTTGCAGACGATGGGCAAATCAAACGTCGCGTTGCAATTTGCTCATACGGAATTGGTTCGTGGTTGGTAGTCGTTGAAAATTTTATTGGTTTAAGTTACCGTCAGTCTTTCTGTGCCTTATACCGATTGGCTCAGAAATTACGCAATACTGTCACTCCATTTGGTTAGATCTGTGAAACGTCTGCTCAACGACCAATCGTCAGCTTGCTGGCTGCGTGGTTCGGAAGCAGTAAGTGATTTGGTTGCATGTTCTGCCAGGGTGCTGTGGACTTGTTAGTTTTTGCTGACAGTTTAATTAGTCCATTTTAAGTATACTCACTATACAAAAGTATGATGCACTACTTGCTTAATGTGGACGCAATTTTTCTTTGCACCAAATATTTGCCCTACGTCCTGACGAGTCTGGTTATTCCAAAAGGATAGCCAGCTAGCAGGATTATACTTGGTACTAGTTAATTTTTATATTTACCTTGCATTTTGATTGACTATCTTTAATCACCAGTAGTTAAACTCTTCCGTGTGAATGGGAGATATTTTTACCAACTGGCATAGATATGTCTGATGCCGTGAAAGACGTGAGTTGCATTGGTTCGTTTTTATAACTCACCCTGGCTATCATTTGGAATAAATTTGGGAAATGATTTAAAATTGACCGAGGTGAAATATATTTTCCCAAGGTTATAAGGTAATGACGTCTGTAAAATCGCATGCCAGGGTGTAGTTAAGTTACAGTTTTACAGAAGTCCTGGGAATATAGGGCACGGTTGATCGGTAAGATCCATCTGTCGGCCTCCCAGGCCTTCCACTTCTGGACCTTTGACAATGAAATACTCTGCTTGTCTTTTAGTGGCGGCAGTCGGCAGACTTATGACAAGGGACACCGTGCTGCTGCTGTGTGACATGCAGGAGAAGTTCAGGACTAACATTGTGCATTTTGGCAGCATTGTGAGCAATGCAGCCCGGCTCTTACAGGTACGCGCACTTGTCCGTCATGTTCCTGTAAATAAATTCAAAAAGTGATACATACATACAGTGTGATTTCCCCCGTTACTTTCTACCCTGAAGATGATACTGTTGAGCAATAAGACCTAGAAAGTGTTTCTATTTGGGATCTACAAGTGAAGTTGGACAGTCACGGGTTATAGAAACCACTTTTTCAGCCCTCACTCCTTCTTAGGCGTCTCGAATTCTGGGCATCCCTAGCATCCTTACAGAGCAGTACCCCAAGGGACTGGGACCCACCGTGCTCGAGCTGGGGGCAGCAGACCTGACAGCTCATTCCAAAACCCAATTCTCCATGATCACCGAAGAGGTTATAAAGGAACTGTTGGCCCTCAGATCTCCCAAAAAGGCCATCCTGTGTGGGATTGAGGCTCAGGCCTGCATTGCAGTAAGACTGAAAAAAGAAACCATTGTCACTTTCTTATAGTGCTTCTGCCTTACTGATAAGCTGTAATCACTACAATGAAAATCATGCACAATGATCACATGATTTTTTTTTACCCCCCATCTGTCAGTGCACAACCTTTGACTTGTTAGAACGAGGCATGGAGGTTCACATCGTGGCAGATGCTGTTTCCTCTAGAAGGTATCCCATAAACAGATTTATCTTCTTGTTAATATGCCAGGCTGCTGTCTTTGAGTACAGACTGGGTAATGCAAGTACATTTCAGTTGCACTATTACAACCAATTGCACTATTACCCTCATCCCCCATTATCACACAATACCTCATCATTGTAAGTAACTGACTGCACTTATTGTATTGTGTATATTGTATTTATTCCAACATTCCTTGCACGTACATGCACTCTTGCACATTTTGGAAATTGTATAAATCAGTCTGACTGTATAAGGTGATTGTTTTGTCTTATATGTGTATGTATTTACTGTATGTCATTTCACCTGTATAAATTCCCTGTGCATGTGAGCATACATGGCCAAGAAAACTGATTCTGACTCATTTACATATGGCCGCTCCCAGTCAGACAGACCGGCTGTTTGCCCTGTCCCGCCTGAAGCAGAGTGGCGCGTACCTCACCACCACCGAAGGGGTCATCCTGCAGCTTGTGCAGGATGCCAGACACCCCAATTTCAAAGAGGTATGGAAACCTCCACCCTGGCGTCCATTCGTAATGAGTTTCAAGCAGAGATGGTTCCAGTCCGATACCCACTAATGTTATTGGGCCATTACCAGCAATAAAATGCCGGATCAGATAGGGGGGGGTGGGGGGCGGCAGTAAGAAACCGATCTGATTTTCCATCAGAGACAGGTCTAGTCTGAGAAATCACAAAAAGTCTTATTCAAGTGATGGCTATTTCAGTAACACATCTCTGCTGACAATGACAGCATGGACCTGCATGCTTGAGGTTGGTTGCCAAGACAAAGATGTGTGGCGTACCCAAGCCAGGGTGTATAATGTTACAGTATGACTGTACACTAACAAATATTATATATTACTAATATTTCTATATTAGATAATTTTATGTGATCAAAATCCTTTTCAATAGTTTTTGGTTTATGTGTCGTCTGCGAGTTTCTGCAATCTTTTGGCATACTCCAAAAATATTCCTGTTTAATCATTCACAGCCAAACTAGTGAATAACCAGTACTGTGAATGTCAAATGCACGATTGTGTCAGGGTTACTGTATGAGTACAATGTATGTAAGGCTAGTGCTGATTTTTCTTAAGCCTGAACAAAGTAACTTTTATACAAATCAGATTCTTTAGGCTTGTATTCTTTATAACGTTTGATTAATTGATACTTTAAACTTTTATCTGTTCTCCATCGTATAGTTTGCACTGGAGACTTGCACTAAATGGACAAAAAATTTGGGACACCTGTCTGTTACACCTCCAGGAACTTTTGTGATATTGCATTCTAAGTCCATAGACATCAATATGGAGTTGGTTCCTCCTTTGCTTTGCAATAACAACTTCCACTCTTCTGGGAAGGCTTTCCACAAGTTTATGGAGTGTGTCTATGTGAATTTTTGCCCATTCATCCAGAAGAGCATTTGTGAAGTCAGGCACTGATGTTGGATGTGACGGTCTGGTTCATAATCTTCATTCTAGTTCATCTCAAAGGTGTTTGATGGGGTTGAGTTCAGGGCTCTGTGTGGGCCAGTCCAGTTCTTCCACAGAAAAGGGCCTTCCCCAGACTGTTTTGATTAAGTTGGAAGCATAGAATTGTCCAAAACGTCTTGCTGTGCAGAATCATTAAGAGTTTCCTTCACTGGAAATAAGAGGCCTAGCCCAGCCCCATACCATTATCTCTCTTCCATCAAACTTTACAGTTGACACAATGCAGTCAGACAGGTAACGTTCTCCTGGCTTCTGCCTCATTCTCCTGGCATCACTCCCACTTTGCAATAATACCACATACACTTGACCAGAAAAATTCACTGATTTATTGCATAGGCGGTATCCTATGATGGTACCACACTTGAATTCACTGAGCTCTTCAGAACGATCCAACCTGTATACCTGACTGCATGGCTAGGTGCTTGATTTTATACACCTGTGGGTCTGAATGAAACCCCTGAATTCAGTGATTAAGAGGCCTGTCCCAATACTTTTGTCCATGTAGTGTATGTGTACCTTTTGACTAGAGCACCCTATACAATGATATTTTCATGATCAATTTCTTTAATATATTATTTTGGCAACAGATTGCACACTTTGCACTTTAAGAAATATTTCTGTTCATTTTTGTGAAAGTTCTTACTGAATAAAACAAAGAATCAGATTTGTGTAAATCTGGTTTTTCCTCCTGTGGTGTAGTGGCGTAGCTTCAGTTTGAGCATCATGACCATTATATTTTATATTATTCTTAGCGTACTCCAACGATACTGCTACAACACTAAATGTGGACAGTTTGCCATGTTAATAGAAACGTATTGATAGAAATGTCTTATTTAATGCTTGGTAGTTGATAATGGGGGGAAAACTTTGGATTAGTATCCGTATCAGCAGATACTCAAAATTTTTATATCAGGATTGGACCAGAAAAATCATTATATATATATATATATATATAAAAAGTATATAAGCTGTCTTGCCATATATAGTAAGTATTGGGTGCCAACTTGTAAGTACTGGATGTACATGCTGTTTTGATCTGTAAATGTTTTGACACTTCCTTCAGATCCAGAAGCTTCTGACACACCCCTCTCCCGACACCGGCCTCCTGGCTTTCTTCAGTTCTTTTTAGAGAGGAGGGAAACATCCCATGCAGGGAAACATGCAGTCACATCCCAGGGAGGAATGAAGGAAACCTCCATTCAATATTACAATGAAATTGTAAAGCATTTATGAATAAATAAAATGTTATTAACCATATTTTTGTCTTTTTCATGAATGGGTTATGCGTGGAATTTTGGATTATGGCTTTAGTACTTCCTTTTCTGCTGGTGATGTCGTGATAAACTTTACACAGGTTTCTAGTTTTAATATGAGCACAGAATAATAATAATTGTAATGCTGGGAGAAACAGTTATTAGCTCTCAGCACTTCTGTAATGCTGTACCTTTAAGATGCATTAGGCGAGCAGAGGGGTGAAGAAATAGGGGGCGTGTCACTGTGGGAGGGGTGGATGTGATGTCACGAGGGAGGAGCGGTGAATGATGTCAGAGGCAGAAGAAGAGGGAGGGGAAAAGGGAGAGAAGAGGAAGCAAGTTTTTGTGCAGCTTTTTTTTTTCTTCTTCTCCGAACTAAAGTTGTAGATAACCGAAAACAAGTGAGGGGGCTCACGGAAGATCCTGGCGCTGTGGAGGGGAAAGAGATGAGGGAGGGGGGAGACCACGGCAACGCTCACAACCTCAACACGACAGCTGATGAGTGTAGTAAAAACTTTATACTGCAATAGGCCTGCAGCCTGTTCACAAGTAGGAAAGGTGAGTCACTTATTCATGTTTACATTTAAAGAAATAGTTGTGTACCCCTGTGTGTTTATGGCACATTTGTGTTTCCACAGACTACTACCAGTGCCTTTTCCTCTGCAGACCATGACTTCAGAGTTGGACTCCAGTCTGACCAGCATTGACTGGCTGCCCACACTGGGTATGAGCAGCCTGCGCTCTGGGAAAGAGCGTGGAGACCGGGGAGGAAAGAGGGAGCGAGGGAGAGAGTCTGAACTTCAGGATGCGTTGTGTTCTCCACCGGGCACGAAAGGAAAACCCCCCCACAGCTATGCCACCCTCATCTCTATGGCTATCGGAGCAGCTCCAGATAGGAAGCTCAGCCTGAATGACATATACACCTGGATCAGTGAGCAGTACCCCTACTACAGCAGGGCTGGACGAGGTTGGAAGGTAAGCTGATATCGTTATGGTGGCAATTAAGGATATACTTTTCACAAGGATAACTTCACCAAGTTTTTCTGTATTTATCTGTTAGAATGTTATTGTCATGAGCTGTGCATAAAAAAAAAAACTTGTTTCATTCACGCAGAACTCTATTCGTCATAATCTGTCACTTAATAAATGCTTCCGGAAAGTTCCACGGCCCCCCGGAGACCCTGGAAAGGTGACATCATCAGAATTTCCCACTTGGTATCAATAAAGGCGATATGTCTGTGCTTAGTTTTTACTTAGGTTGTTTAAGTATATTATTAGTATGTATCATATGTATATGTGTAGTATGTATATTTTTTGGAAAAATATATTTAAAATGTTCCTGTGTGAAAAAGTGATACTTCCTACTTAAATAGTTTTTTTTCTGGTCTTCCAGGGGTCGTATTGGACAATGGATGGGCCCCTAGAACAGATAACATACTCTCCCTCCAGTGGAAACAAGCGCCCATGTCCTGCAGATGAAAAAACGGTGATTCATTTTTCCTAGTTATTATCATTATATCTGAGCTGAGGGTGTCAGCGTCAACTTTTGAAGGAAGTCTTAGTTCGCAGGCAGGCAGGCAAGTCTAAGCAGACACGGAGACCTCCAGCTGTACGTCATTTTACCTACGCTCTACACTGACTGTTTTTAAAAGTGACATTGAAAGACCGTAAAAAAAAAAGTAGATTCCATTAAGTCATGAATCAGGCTCCAAGAGTCATTGACTTCTGGTTATTTATTTTGAGTCATTGTAAGGTGTACAGTCTTGTCCCAAGGAAATGCACATGCAACTTAAGAGACCACAGCACATTTTTTTTGTGAAATTTACATTTTTTTGCAAACTGCAGCTTGGTTCTTCCCTGTTTCTCAGTGATGAAGGGCTTCTTCCTTGATTTACGGGTCTTCAGCCCTGTTTCTAGGAGCCTGATACAAATTGCACTAGCAGTGCACTTCACATCCGCACTTAACGTTTTTCATTCCTTTTAAGTTGACAGTCATCTCACTCATTAGGAAGTCACTTCTGCCCTCTACCTGGCTAGTTTTTGGTCATTCTCAGTGTCTCCTGCTTACCCTTGTTCTTGTGTACTGCGGTCTTAGAAACTTTGATCTGAAACTTTTGAACTGGAAGCAACCTGCCGCACGGTAGGCTTCTTGCATCAGAACCCGAATTAAACCAGGATTTAACAATGCAGATTCTCAAAAAACATGGAGTGATTTCTTAATTTTTTCCAGAGCTGTATATATAGAATTGCTTCCGTTGGATATTAAAGCACCCCTTGTGCGCTCCCAGTCTTCCCACAGTGCTGTGCAAGAGGAAGGGAAAGTGAAACAGACAGGAAATACCGCACCAGCCCCCGCAGCTGAATTGTCCCGTCCCCCTGCGTGTAAGGTATAGTATGGCGAGGAGGGGGGGGGGATAGAGGCAGTTCAGTGTGACCTGATCACTGAGGCCACTTGTTTAGGTTTGAATATTCAGCTGTCATCTATCTTTTCTACATGTCTTCTTGTAATATGTAATTTGTTATAATTCATGACTGACTTGAAGCAAGTCTAATTAACGTTGATGCAGAAACGCCCCCCCCCTCTGCCACCCCCCATACCGGCCTCTTCCGTCCTGCCGCACCACCCCACCGATGCCTCTCGTCGAGTCCCCTTCGCCAACCTCGACTTTGAAGACCTTTACAGCTCATTCCAGTCCCTCTGCAGGACAGTGAGAGAGAGAGCCGGATCCCAGCGTAAGCCGCCGCTCGCTAGTGCTGCCGCTGACTTCTCTGTCATGAAGGTCCGTGTGTGCTGGTTTCATAACCTCTTTCCCCCAACCTCTCTTAGCGGACACTGGTCTTTTCACTGGGGCGTCTGGTGACCACACACCCCTGCATACTCCGACCCTGCAGCCACTGACACCACGCCAGTGCCCACCTGAAACCGGACATGGTAACTACGTCAGTGTTTCCTGCAGTGCTGCTGGTGTTAACAAGCTGTATTCTGACCAACTCTTTTTGTCTTTCAGTATTACCAACTGACTGGTTTAGCACTACAGATTCCTTAAAGGAGAGCTTCCGAATTGCCAGCAGTCTGGACTGGAATAATATTGACATTTCAAGTTACCCTGGTTAGTAACATTGACCTTTCATGTTACCCTGGTTAGTAACATTGACCTTTCATGTTACCCTGGTTAGTAACATTGACCTTAAATATTACCCTAGTTAGTAGCAATGACCTTTTTATTACCCCCCATTAGTAACACTGACTTTTGTATTACTACAGTTAGTAACAATGACTTTTGTATTACCCCAATTAGTAATTTTGTGCTTTGGTATTATGATGCCGATTCTTGTGCTAGTACTTGCTAAATACACGTAAAAATCATTTACTTGTCAGGGACATGCTTTGAACATGGATTTGAACAAAAGACAAGTTATGAACTTACGTAGGACAAAGGGTAGCTGTTACAGTGATGGTCATTTCATTTCAGACCTGGTGGAAAGCATGCGTCAGGCAGAGGTCTGTGATTTGGCGTTGGACCCAGCCCTCTTCACATCCCTCTGTGATTCGCTGAACCGCTTCTTCACTCAGAAAGGCCTGATTGGCTCAGCTTCCAGCCCAAACCCCACAGCACCCTCTGCAGTCCATCCTATCCTCAGCCACCCTTCCCCTCTCGCCGCTTCTCCATTACTGTCTGCTCCCACCAATAACCTCCATCCACTGCCTCCCAAGAGGGCCGTTTCCTCACACCATGTCCCACAGAGGATGCCCATGACCCAGCCAAGCGATAACACACCTCTTGCATCCAACAGTAAGTATTTCATTGGATGTTAGCATAGCTGTTGTATGTGATTTTAGCCTGTACTAGAAGCACAATCCTAGTTAAAGGGTTCTGTAAGGCCCAGGGTATCGAAAGGTCCATTTTAAAATCCTACTATACAATCAGTTACTTCAAAGCTCATAAAGGGGTGCGGCGTTGGGGTGTCGTTGGGATTATTTATCTGGCCCTCTTGCCTCACCTCCCAGTGCCTGTCCAGCCTCAGCCTTTGACCCCCAGAAGCCGACCTCCGTTAAGGAATCTCCATAGCAACAGTGAAGAGATCCAGGATGACTTTGACTGGGATTCGCTCATCGTTTGAGGAAAACAGGTTTTGAACATTACTAGATACTGCAAACTGCCAGCAGGTTCACCAGTGTCAAAACAGAAAACCGAAAAGAAAAGAAAAATATGAGACCAATTGTCACTAACACAAATATTACTTAGGTCTGTAGGGGCAGAGGGTTTAACTTCTTGTATACATTACTGTAACGCATTATGTTGTATTAACTTTGCAGTACCGTTTTTCACTAGGTTTTAACCTTAACTAATGTTTTATCTATTCAGTACATTTTTTATTATTTTATTCCAATAAAACTTATAGGCATGTCAGGTACCTAATCTCTTTATGCTTTATTTTATTAATTACACTTAAGATTTTCATAGAAGAGTGGAACACTTCAGAAATGGTATGAATTTAGAGTGTTTTTTTATGAGTGGAGAGGGTAACATCACAAATGGAGGCATGAGAGTCTGGGTACATGTAAATATAATGTTAATGTCTCAATAGGATGCCCTGTGGAAGCTTCAAAAACACACTAATGATCTATTGAGGATCTTCACTAAGGTCTGAGTTGGAGTTGGTCTGAGTAAACTGATTGTTTCATTTAACATAAATGTCTTGTGTTTGGTACAGTGATTAAATTTAACAGTGAAAATGATTCTGATTAAATATAAAATCAGTATTTGACATTTGATTCTCCACAAAATAAGGGAATTTTTTTTTCTATATAACTATGTAATTACTTTAAAAAATATATTAATTTAATGATGATAATTCTGCAAGTGATACTGCTCTAATATCATTGTTCTGCATTGTCTGGGACCCCTAGATAGTCCACAGGTTTGGTCCCTCCCAGTTCCAAACACACCTATACTAGGTATTGGTTTTCTTGATTGCTTGTTCGGTTCAGGTGGACTGAGAGCTGGGATGGAGCAAAAACAAGGACTGGATCAGTATTACTTTTAACTAATTTTAGCTGGTTGAGAGTGCTAGCGTGAAACACTGGCGTCCAATACAGGCTGTTCTCTATGCTTCTGGATTCACTTTGATCCTGTACTTAATTAGCAGTTATGGGAAATGGATACAGTACACAAACTGGGGATATTAGTGAAGAATTATGAGCCTCATATTAGCAGTATAATTGGATGAATGGGCATGCACAAGAATTCAGTTCTGACAATATTAAAAAAAAATATTTCAATTGCTATGTTTTTATTTTTGATTTATTTCTCCCCATTCTGGTTTTCAAATATGCATGTTCACAGTTGATGCCACACAAATTTGACCCAAGAAATATATCTTAATATAAAATAACAATCATCAAACATATAATTAAAAATAACTGTGTGGATCATCTCGGTCTCCAAATAATATTTTATTCATTGAAATAATATGATATCAAAGCATCAGTTTCTATATCTTTAGTTTTCTGACCTGCGTATTACAGGAACCACTGGAAACGCATATGAGATAATAAAAGAGGGAAGGTAGGAAAACCATAGAACAAGAAGCTAATGCTTTGATTCAAAAAATAAAAAAGTCAGCTGAAACAAAGACTCTTTTAATATCTCATTTTAATCCCAGCATTAACAAGCACTGGAAAAAAAGTGATCAAAAAAACCCAGAAAAATTGTACATTACATGTGTCTTCCAACTGCAACCCTCAGCTGTGACAATAAGACCAAGGAAATGGAAACTGTCTGAGGACACAGATACAGCTCAAACAGGCTGACAGGCAGGCACACACACGCACACATGCACAAACACACGCTCTCACCCACCCACACACACAAATGTCCACTTTCCCCCTCACCAGTTCAATGAATGTTTGAATTACTGTCAATTCTCAAAAAAGTTCAGCATTTCATCGAATTACATTTATAAATCTGATTTTTTTTTTCCTTGTTCCCAGAATGGAAATTTATGATAAAAAATAAATTACATTAGATTAAATTAAAAAGAGAACATCTACTCTGTGATTCGACCAGATTCTGTTAGAAATGTTAACATGGCCTTTCAGCCTGACTGGGTTATGGTTTCTTTTCAGTCAAGGCTAAATGTGAGCAAGGGGAACTCCGAGTTTCAGTGAAATCAGCTTGCTATTGGCCGAGCTAACCCGCCCCCCAAATTCTCCCTCTGTCCAGTGCAGTAATACTAGTTTATACTGATTTCACTTGATTAATTTTCCCTCCCATATCCTTCTGTATTTATTTCATAAAGAACTAGGGAAAAACATTTAAATGAAGAAAAAACAAATAAATACATTTCTCTGCCCCTCCCCTCCATTCTGAAAATAAAGAAATTGAAATGCTTTCCGGAAATACGAGAAATCAATCCAATTTTGTTTTCTTGTTTTAAATATAGAGTTGTACACACATTTTATTCCGACACATAAATTGTGTTAATCAGGAAAGTGGTGAATTTTCTTAGAGAAGAAAAGGATTAGTGCTTCCTCCTGTGGCTGCCCCCCCACCCACGGCTCCACTGGCTCCCATTACTCCACCGCCCCCTGTGCCCCCACCCAAAATCAATTGTGGCTGCCCTGGTACTCCTGCACCCATGAGAATGGTAGCTCCCGGTGGGGCCATGGGAGAGATTCCTCCATAGGGAATGCCCATAGGGCTGGACTGTACCACCCCCAGACCCATCTGTGGGGGTGTCATCTGAACTCCCATTGCAGGCATTGCCATCCCGGGCTGGACCATTCCCAGAGTCGGAGGGGTCCCCAACATGGGGTTGGGCGGTACAGGGCTGGTGCGGAGCTGGCTAAGGCCTAGTGAGGAGGTCTGGGGAGAGATGGACGCCATTGGGGCTGCACCAAAGGGGTTGGAGGATGGGGGAGGAGTAGGAGAAACCCCTCGGCTGGAGATGGAACTGCCCGGAGTCAAAGCCATAGCCGGGGCGGGAGAGGCACCTAAATAACGAAGAGGGGAAGGGAGGGAAGGAGGGAGGGAGAGAGAGAGAGAGAGAGAGAGGAGTGACTGGACAGCAGAGAGAAAAGGCAAAAATCTCTATGAGGCAAAACTACATTACAGAGAGTGAAGAGCCTTGTCACTGACAGCAGCAAGTTCTGACATCAAACTGGTAGAACAATTATCTGCCTGGACTCTCACCCTGGCTTCTGTATCTATATTGATCTGGCAAAAAAATTCACACACGGTCATTCAGGATGACAGACGGAAGGAGGACAAAAAATTGGGATCTATAGAACATTATGCGCTGCCACTATGTTGTAACAGCTGTGTTGGGGATCTAATGCTCACATCTAAACGCCAAGACTCACTTTAACAAGCAAAAATTGATCATCTTAGCTCCATTGGGCAACTGAGTTTCTTTTTTTGAACTCGTCCATCAGTCCCGCCAGACAGAAAAGTGTGATTCATCACTCCAACACACATTTCCACTGCTCCAGAGCCCAGTGGTGGCATGCTTTACACCACTCCATCCGACGCTTGGCATTGTCCTCGGTGATGTCAGGCTTGCATGCAGCTGCTCAGAAATGGAAGCCCATTCCATGAAGTTCACAGTGCACAATTTTTGTGCTGGGGTTACTGCCAGAGGAAGTTTGGAACTGTGCAGTTACTGAATCAACAGAGCATTGGCGACTTTTACGCACTACGCTCCTCAGCACTTGGCAACCCTGCTCTGCTATTTTACGTGGTCTGCCACTTCTTGGCCCGAGTTTCTGCTGTTCCTCAATTATTCCATTTTGCAATAATACATTTACAGTTGGCCATGGAATATCTAGCAGGGAAGAAATTTCACGAACTAACTTATTGCTAAGATGGCATCCTATGACAGTACCATGTTTAAATTCACTGAGCTCTTCAGAATGACACATTCTTTCACAAATTTTTGTAAACCTGACTGCATGGCATGCATGCATAGGAAATAGGTCTGAATGAAACACCTGAATTCTATGACTAAGAGGTGTGTCCCAATACTTCTGTCCTTATAGTGTATGTATCAAAATCTACTAAGTGAGGACCCCCTTCCCAGTTACTGGACACTTTGGTGTGACCTTAAGTTTAACCACTGAAATAACATTCTTACCATTCACTGAAATATCACCTAACATTCTAATCAAAAGGCATTTTAATTAGTAATAGTGTTAGTTAAATCAGTGTCACTTTTCATAGAAGCTGTAGGACATAGTAGCTGTAGAACTAACAAGTTGCATTTGACATAGTGTGAGGTCCATCCTAATTCTGACCAGTGCTGATCACAGCAGTGGCTTGCCTACTAAATAAAAGCTAGTGCTCAGATCTCATAAGCCATACTGCCCATAATAAGAAAATGCATGTTTGTACACACAAACATATGTATGAATACTGACACTGAATACAGGAGATTTCAATGTGAAAGAGCATAGATGTTCAGACAAATACGCCTCGTGTCTTTTGTGTATCCTTACCCTGTGTCTGCAGAAAAGGGTTGTGGGTGGACTGGGTGGAGATGGATGGGGGGGGTCCCTGTTTGGGTTTGGGCTTGGATGACACCAGAGAGTCCAGGTCCACCAGAGCCGCGTTTGGACCGAGAAATGATTCGGGAGTTTTTCTCACTGGGAGTGAGGAGCTCAAGGACGAAAGGTCAAAGGGCACAGGTGAGCCAGTACTCCCCCCACCTTCCCCGCCCACTCCCATGGACCCTTTCAGCTCCAGATCACCTGGAAATAGTGACGACAGAATTAAACGAACATATACACGCTCAGGCACTGACTGCGATGAACACCATAAAGATACAGAGAGTACCGTCCAACTGGCTTCACTCTGACTGACACCAGGATGCTGGCTACATCTTCCAGGACAGAAAGGAGCCCACACTTACCTGTGCCATTCGTGGTGTGTTTGGCTGAACCTCCCCAGGGGTCAGAGGACAAAGAGTCAGCAGCTACGGCACTTACGTCTGCAGCCCATGGGTCACTGGGTGCGGAGGTGGTGACTGGAGCCACATTGCTCCCCCACGGGTCAGAGCTGGCCTGAGTCACAGCTGAGAGAGACATAGAATAAAGTGGTAAATGTCACGCTGAGCCAGCCAATCAGGGCTCGGGGCACATGACACTCAACACCGTGCTCTACCTGTGGAACCCCAGGGATCTGTGTTCACCCTGGAGGAATCTCCCCATGGGTCCGGCGCGGGGGCTACTGTGGTTCCGCTCCCGCCCCAGGGGTCAGCGCTGGGTGGAGAAGCTGGCGAGGACCCACCCCATGGATCTGAGGGCCCCCAAGGGCCAGGGGCAGTCTGAGTCGTGGGTGGGGGAGACGGACCGGTGGAGGCTGCTGTGGGGGGAGCAGCCGGGGCCCCCCAGGGGTCAACAGCGCTCAGCTCCATGAGAGAGCCCTGGGAGAGGGGGGAGAGTAAGACAGAGACAGGCAGACAGAGACAGGCAGACAGAGACAGGCAGACAGAGACAGGCAGACAGAGACAGGCAGACAGAGACAGGCAGA